TTTTTGTATTTTTTTAGGGAAGGGTCTACAAGGTGTGCAAAGTCTCACTACTAGATCAGACTCATAGTGATCCGCCTGTTTACAGCCTCCCAAGAGCTAGGATTATAGGCACGCTGCCAAGCCCAGTCTCAATTGCCATCTCAGTGTGCCCTGGGGGTGGGGTGGAGCACTGCAGGCCTGGGGATTGAACCCCCGTCCCCTGCGTCTGCTTGCAGGCGCTTTAATCTGCTGAGCTATTTGGCTGGCCCATGCTCATTTTCAATGGCTGACACTGCACGGGTTCTGGGGCTTGCAGCAGTACCAGGGATCAAACGTTGGTCCTTACGCTTGCCAGGCAAGCACTTAGATCACTGAGCTATCTCCCCAGCCTATAATAAAAATTTAAACCTACTAACAACCCCACTTGGGGCCGGGGAGATGGCTCAGTAGAATAAGCGCTTGCCTGGCAAGCGCAAGGGTCTGAGTTCAATCCCCGGTTCCGCAAAAATAAATAAATAAATAAATAAATAAATAAATAAATACAAACCCCACTCATCCACTCATATTGGAGACAACCACTCGGTCTAAGTTCCTTAACTCATGGAATTTTCCCTCATCATTGCCTGAGGTGTAGCGCATCTGCTGTGGCCTTGCTTTCACCAGATGATCCTGTGGTTCACCCAGTGACCAAGAATGACTTTCTTGTGTCTCCATGGTATCAATAGGAGCAGAAGCTGTTTTATTTTTTCCTTTTGACATAGTAACTTAGTGCTTGGAGCGGAAGTCTACTCCATCTGGCAGTGCTAAGCTTAGTGTTTGCTTTGAAGAGGACATCCAGACTTACTGCACTGGAGCGTATATACTGGCTGACGTCAACTGAGGGCCAACGCCTGAGGTTTACTTATCTGGTACTAAATATCTGACACTAAACCGAAATCACGTACAAATGTGCAGAGCAGCTTGGAAGGGGACTCCGAATCCTACCTGCTGTATCACTTGGGCATCTCCAGCCCCTGCCTTGTCTCCTCTGCCTGGTGCACCCCAGGGAGCCAAGGGTCACACGCGAATACCGAGTCCTAGCCCCAGGATGTGATTGCTTGTGCCAGCGCCCCAGTGCACCTGTGCCCACTGCTACCCCAGACTTTCCTTGTGCCAGTGTTTTCTCTTTATGTGAGTGATTTCCTTGCCCAGCCCCACAAGAGCTGGTCTCAGCTTTTTTTCATGTTCTCAGCACTTTGGATGCTTTCTAGCATGCAGAAGTCGTCCACTCACCCAGTGTTCAGACAGCAAGACTGGGAGTACAGGTGCACAGATGCCAGACAAGTGGGTGGCCGGTGTGGGGGTTGACTTTATTATTACTTAGCCACGAGTGATGCTGAGGACGGAACCCAGGGCCCCCCACACGCAGGGCAGGCGCTCTGCCCCAGAGCCCCAGCTCCAGCCCACCAAAGGGGTTTCAGTCTCAGCTAATTAAAGACCCCCTTCCTTGTGAGGGTGAGGCCCTCTGACCTTGACTTACTCTGTCCCTGCAGATGTGCAATGCTTTTCAAAATGCCAACATTTTGGTACTCATCACCGGGTGTCACTGTGAGTATCCTTCCTGCTGAGGGAGGGCTGCGTCTGCACCCTGGGGCCCCAGCTCTGCCTGCACCTGACACTGTGCATGCCCCGGGCTTGGTTTGCAGCCTCTGTGATCAAGGAATTTGAGAAGAATGATTTCTTTGACCATGGCATCACCAAGGCCCGCCTGTTCCTCACCCTCCACGATGCCGTGCTGTTTGCCACATCAAGGACTTTGGCAGACAACACCGACCTAAGCGTGGATGAGTGTGAGACAGTGATCCAGGAGACCTACTCAGAGTCAGACAAGGTTGGACGCTGTGAAGTTGGAGGTCGGGTGGTGGTGGGGGAGGAGAGGAGGCGGCACTTGATCAGACAGTGCCAAGCCGTGTCCAGGAGAGGTTCCCTTGCCAGCTAATAAATAGCAATGAACTGAGCCCCAGCGCCCCCCAGCCACGGCCCCAGTCCCATGCAGGACACTTCCCCAGCTGCAGAGAGGGCCTGCCTGGCCAGGGATGGCATTGAGCATCCTTCTACAGTAGTCTTGGTTGGTGCTGCAGTAACTGCTGTCCTCCCCACTTTGATTTTTTGAGATAGAGTCTCCCTTTGTAGTTTAGGCCAGCCTTGAACTCACTCTGGAGCCAGCCTGGCTTCAAACTCACAGCGATCATCCCGCCTCAGTCTCCAGAGTGCTGGGATTCCAGGTGTGTGCTACCACACCCAGCCTGATGGTTAAATATTTTAGATATCTCTTCAGAAACCTTCGAACCCTTAAACCTTTAGAACCCACCCTACTCTGTGGGGTGGCTTGGTTAATTCTCTCATTGCTAAGACAAAATACCTGACATCCAAAGTTAAAGGAGGAAAGATTTCTCGTAACTCACAGCTCACAGAGGCTCAGCCCATGGTCGGCTGGCTCTAAGGCGGTGTAGCATAGTAGAGGGACATCACAATGGAGCCATAGCGCTCGGTGGGAAGAGGCAACCAAACATCAGGAACAGCAGGAGTAGAAGCAGAAGCCTGCCTTCCTCCTGTCTCTTTATAATCCACTGAGGGTACCACCTTCTGGGTGCTGCCCCCCACACCCATAGTGGGGCACCCTCATTCTCAGCATTGACCTCTGAACCCCAGCATCATACCTTCGAACTGCCTACCTGTGGCCCTATAGGGGGGACATCTAAATATAAGCCCTAATGGATGAGTACTACAGATATTGAACTCCGGGAAGCAAATGCCTGCTAGTCTGATACATTGGCTTCTCCCCACATCCTGAGAGATAGGAGATGTATGCAACCTGACTAAGTGCAAAGGAGAAGGATAACATAAATCAAAACTTTTAGTCTTTCAATACTAAGCCAAGTTCTGGGTCTTTTAAAAATGTTTTCAAATAAATATCTGAGTAGGTTAAAGGTTTCCCCAAGAGGCTGGCAGGAGAGTTCAGCAGTCTAAAGCACCTGCTTAGGCAAGCGTAGGCAGCCTAGGGACCGTGGTTCAATCCCTGGCACCACATGCCATGCCAGCCTTGCTCCCAGGGTGGGCTGAGTTGGCCACAAAAATAAATAAATAAAAATAAATAAATAAATAAAAGGTTTCCCCAAAAGTAAAATTGCAGGGGACCCTTGGCTGGCAAGTCCACTTAAGCTGAGGGCTGGCCGCATCTCGGGTTGTCAGTCATGGCTCAGGCTGCTCTGCGTGGTCTTCGAAGTCTCTGTCCTGGACACAGGCAGCTCTCAGCACCCTTAGAGATACTGGCCCAGGGTTTCTCAATTTTAATTTTTTTTTTTTTTTTTTTTGGGGGGGGGAACTGGGGATTGAACTCAGATCCTTAAGTTTGCCAGTCAAGCGCTTATCCTACTGAGCCATCTCCCAGGCCCCTAAGGGTTTCTCAGTTTTTCAGTCCCATACAGGAAGTGCTAGTAATGTTTCTTCCAGAAGCCTTTAAGGGTTCAGTCTGTCTCTGAGACCATCTGGAAGCACCAGCAGCTGGCATTCGGATCTTAGCTCAAGACTTGGGTTAAAAACTAAAACCTAGACCCCGGTTATAACCTAAGACGTTCACACATCAGGCAGCTGTAACTTGAGGGTCCACTTACAGATATACTTGGTTTTTTGTTTTGTTCTCGTGTGACAGGGTCTCACTGTATAGTTCAGGCTGGCCTTGACTTTACAGTGCTCCTCCTGCCTCCGCCTCCCAAGTGCTGGGGTTATAGTGTGTGCCATCATGCTTGGCTTTGGCCATCCGATATTATCTACTGAGGAGGAATTATTTTTCAACCAAATTCCTTATTCTTTATTGACTTATGAGATTTCAGTAACTTTTGGATTTTTATGACAAAAATATTACTATCATGGTTTTGAGGTGTTTTTTTTGCTTTGGGAGTACATAGGGAATGAACCAAGAGTCTTAGCACTGAGGTATATTCCCCAGTCTTCCCACTGTCTGTCTGTCTGTCTGCTGCTGCTGCTTCTCCTGCTTCTTCTTCCTCCTCCTCCTCCTCCTCCTCTTCCTCCTCCTCCTCCTCCTCCTCCTCTTCTTTTTTGTTAGATTTCAGGACAGGTTCTTTTTGTCTTTGCTCATCCTGCCCTGAGGGCAGGGCTGGCACTGCATGTGGTGCCGGGTGTTGAACCTCAGTTCCCTGGGCCTGCCTAAGCTTGCCTATGTGGCACTTTAGGCCGCTGAGCTATCTTGCTGGCCCTTGAGCCAAGTTCTTGCTGAGTTGCAAAGTTTCCCAGGATGGGCTTAAACTTAAGATCCTTCTGCCTCAGCCTCCTAGAGTGATAGAGTCACACGTGTGTGCCATCATGCCCAGTTTCTTTTTTCTTTTTTTGCAGAACCGGGGATTGAACTCAGGCCCATGTGCTTGCCAGGCAAGCGCTTATTCTACTGAGCCATCTACCCTGGCCCCTGATGCCCAGTTTCTTAAAATTCCAAAAGTAAGAAATAGCCACACTTGTAAAACACAGCCTTTTTCTCTTACTTCATTAGGTATTCCAAGTGGCAATAGTTCAGCTATAAGGAACTCACTGATTTTTACAAAATTATCTGGCCACCTTTTTGAGTAGTTTTATTTATCCTAACATACTTCCTTGTAAATTCTGTAGAGTTTTTGATAAAGAAAAATATTCACTGGGGCCAGGGAGATGGCTCAGTAGAATAAGTGCTTGCCTGGCAAGCACATGGGCCTGAGTAAATCACTAAAAACAATACTAATTTCTTATTTTCTATTAGAATTCTTATTTCAGTATTACATGTTGCTGTCTAAGTTAAAAGCTCAAAAGGCTGGGGAGATAGCTCAGTGGCATAAGCACCTGCCTATCAAGTACAAGGTCCTGAGTTTGATCCCCAGTACAAAAAAAAAAAAAAAAGCTCAAGAACAATTTGAGGGGGCCAGGGAGATGGCTCAGCGGAATAAGCATTTCCCTGGCAAGCGCAAGGGCCTGAGTTCAATCCCCGGTTCCGCAAAAAAAAAAAAAAAAAAGAACAATTTGAGCAGGAGTGATGAATGTAGTTTGACTCCTAAATTCTTGTGAAATAAGATTCTTTAAAAAAAAAAAAAAAGATTCTTGTGTCCCTATTAGAGTCAGAGCTACCAGTTGGTCTCAGATAGGCACTGACTATTTTTCTTTCAGAGTATTTCTCTAACTTGGATACCGTAGTGCACACCTATAATACCACCACCGAGGGAAGCTGAAGCAGGAGGATACAAGTTTGAGTCTTGCACGGGTCACTTAGCATGGCCCTGTCTCAAAATAAAACACAAAGGGCTGAGGATGTAGGTCGGTGGTAGAGCACTCTGGCTAGGCTCCTCAGCACACCAACATTCTTGCTAACATCTTTTCAGGACTTACATTAAGAATTGGTACTGAATATGTAATTTTTTTTTCAGGCATTCAAAAGAGAGAAGACTGGGAGAGAAGTAAGTTCTATTTCATAAGTAAAATTCACTGTATTAAATTCAAGGTGCCGGGCTGGTGAGATGGCTCCGTGGTCTAAAGCACCTACCTAGAACAAGCTAAGCAAAGCACAGAGACCGGGGTTCAATCCCCCAGCACCACATGCCAGCCAGCCCCGCCCCCTGGTGGGCTGAGCTGGCCACACACACACGCACACACACAAATAAAATTAAAAAAAAAAAATTCAAGGTGCCCACTGAACATCCAAGTGGAGATGTCAAGAGCAGAAGTGGGTATGTTCACCTGCAGGTCACCACAAGCATTATAACCAGAGTCACTGGCTTGGACTCTAGATGAAAATGGAAATTACAGGCCTAAATAAAAGTTACTAGGGCTAGGGAGATAGCTTAATGGTCTAAGTGCCTGCCTGGCAAGCTCAAGGACCTGGGTCCAATGCCTAGTGCAGGAACCCCAGGCATGGCCTGCTGGCCTAGAACCAGGCATAGTGATGCACACCTGTAAGCCCAGCACTGTGGAGGCTGAGGCGGGAGGATCACTACAGGTCCAAGCTGCATAGTAAGATCCTCCACCAAATAAGAGTTAAAAAAAAAAATACAAAAAAGGGCTGGAAAGATAGCTCAGTAGAATAAGTGCTTGCCTGGCAAGCACAGGGTCCTGAGTTCAATCCCCAGTACTGCAAAATAAATTAAAATAAAATGTGAAAAAAATTAAAAGTAAAATTACCTAGAGGGAGAGTGTAGATGGAGAAGGGTCTCAAGCAGGGCCTGGGGCCTCCTGACATTTATAAATCCAGCAGTAGAAGAAGAGAGGGCAAAGAGACCCATTAGCAGCAAATGAGGAGGGAAGAAGGAAAAGCAGAAGGTGTTGGTGCTGAAGTGGGGGACTGGGAGGGGCTGCAACTGTGAGACTGATGCTTCGGCCTTTGGGCCCCTGTGATGAGCAAGGAGTGAGGCACCCTGCTATGGAGAGCCAGGCTCTGCTCAGGATCCTAGCACCTGGGCTGGGGAGATAGCTCAGTGGAGTAAGTGCTTGCCTGGCAAGTGCAAGGTCCTGAGTTCGATGCCTGGTACCACCAAAAAAAAATTGGGATCCTGGCACCAGCGAAGGGGATCAGGTTTGTAAATAAAGGAACACAGGGCTATGCAATGAGGGCAGAGCAAATGAGGTGCGGCTGGAACATGAGGAGGCTGCTGGGTCTGGGCGGGCAGGTCTTGGATATGCGCCTGGGTGATGCATGGGTGTGTGTGGATGAGACCCAAAGGGCAGGGCCAGCTCAGAGAGCCTTAAAAGGCTGCACTGGGGATTGGCAAACTAGGATCAAGGAGATGAGGAATTTCCAAATGATATCAAGACCATTGCGGTTTAAATGGTGGGTCGTGAAACCCACTCTAGCTGGAAGAGCCAGAGAGATCTGACGCAAAAGGTTGACTGAATTTGAAGATCAAATTAAGTAAGTGGGCAACTATTGTGCAGGGTGAAAAGCAGATTCAGGCAAGAAATGTCTTCTACTTTGCCAGGAATCCCTGGTTATACAGTACCGTGGGTCCTGTGGTATGCTGAAATTCTTTGACTGCTCAAAAGCTTAATGAATTGAAAAGTTTAGTCCATCTAATTGTGTATTTCAGAATGACAAATCCAGACATGAAAAGAGTCATAGTTTCCTAGAAAGTTCCAGAAATACAAGTCCCCTGTTCACCAAGTACCACAGGCCAGAAGAAGAGTCCCTAGGGTTTGATTTGGACATGGATGACATGGGAGATTCAGAAGAGCCAAGTGGGATGGGTCTCAACATCGACTTAGACCAAGTCCTGGAGAACGAGTCAGAGCTGGAGCCTGACACGGAGCTTGAGATGGACACTGACCTGGAGCTGGAAAGTCAGCCAGAGCCCAAAGCCACGCCGAGGGCGTCCACACACCCTCAGCAGCAGCACTACAGGCCCCTGTATTACTCTCAAGCACCCAGCACCCAGCCCCAGCTTTCACCCCGGATGCGATCAGTGGAGAGGAGATAAAAGTACCAGGACTTAAACTCAGTGGAGGCCGTCAATAATGAGACCTAAGGGGTCAGAGAACCTGGAAAATGCCCCGACCCTAAAAGGGTTGCTTATTCCTAAGACCCACACTAGGCACAAACTAGCAGTGCTTGCTTTGTGACTGGCCCTCCTGCTGCTGTTTTCCTTGTGTGGCGCTGGGATCACACTCCTAGGCCGCACTGCCGAACGCCAGCCATTACCTGTGCCTTCCTAGCCAGGCCCCCACATCCCACCTTCAAGCCGATATTCCAATGAAGGTCTTCCTTCATAACATGCCTCATACCTCTGGGGTTTGTGCCATCACTCCTCTCCTTTCTGTTCCCCTTGCTCTAGGGAGGAGAGACTCAAATAAAACATAGTAATTTACATTTGGACCTTTCCTGCACCTTCTCTCTTCTCTTTATCCTGCATCCCTAAGGGAATGTCAAGTGGGAGGGCTTCCGACAGGGAGTGCACGGGTGGAGAAGGATGTGGTGGCCACACCTGTCCTCCCAGCACTCAGGAGGCTGGGGCAGGAGGATCACTGTGAGTTCACGGTCACTCTGGATTACATTGCAGAGCAGAATTCAAGCCTGGACTGAATTCCAGCTTGAACTTTTTTTTCATGTTGCTGCTTCAAGATTTGGGGGAAAGATGATCTTTTATTGGCTTTAGACTGAAAAAGCCCAGATGCCTCCTCCCCTGTCATCACAGCCAGACAGGTGTTGGTAACCTCTCATTCATAACATCCAGGTTAAGTCACCAAGGGCCTCCTTCCAGTCTCATAGCTTTCAGATAAAGCAAACAGGTTAGCCTTTATGGAGCAACCTGTCTTCCAAGGCGTGGCAGGGCAGACAAAGGTGCAAATCCACAATAACCACAACGGTGTGGGTGTGAGCCTCCCAGGGGCCCAAACAAAGGGACATTCTGAAAAACAGGGGTCTGGATTTAGAAAGTCAGTCATTTTTAACTGTTTTGTATTTAATTCATTTTTCTGAGACAGGGTCTTGCTATGTAGTGCAGGCTGGCCTTGAACTCACTGTGATCCTCCCGCCTCAGCCTCTGGAATGTGCGCTACCACACCTGCTGAAAGCAACGACAGTGATTGCCTAACACAGGTTTTTCAAGTTAGGTGACTTCCAGTTAGTTCTTTTTTGACAAAATTGAACCAGGACTTGCTGGGGTTTTCAGAGATAGGTCGTTAAGTTCTGGTGATTCCTGTGATTTTTGGCACATTAAGTGGAGAGGAATTTCAAAAGACCTGAATAGTATTGCTGTAGCAAACCCTTTTCCATTCCTGCCTAGTCATTTTATGTAACAGGTTTTGGGTTGTTTGTTTGTTTTTGCAAAAAGGTAATATGGTGTAAGACTCCAGAAAAAAAAAAAAAATCATGTACCATTGCTCTGAGATACATTTGCAATAAAATTTCATTTTATTAAAATAAAAATCATGGGCCGGGCAGATGGCTCAGTAGAATAAGCGCTTCCCTGGTAAATGCAACAGTCTGAGTTCAATCCCCGGTTCCACACAAAAAAAAAACAATCATGGGGCCAGGGAGATGGCTCAGTGGAATAAGTGCTTCCCTGGCAAGCACAATATCCTGAGTTCAATCCCTGGTATTGAAAAAAAAAAAAAA